CTTTAAATTTAAATAAATATATTAATATAAATTATAAATAAGTAAAGAAATTATAAATGTATGTCATATAAAACTTACGTAAATATGCTAAATAATACAAAATTTATGTATTACATAATATTCCTAATTTTTGGAGAAGAGTTGTTACATTTTTCTCATATATGTATTTGACATTTTAAATTATCTTGTTTATAAATTACTTCTTTGGTGGTGGCGGTGCATGGCGTACTAAAACTGGCTGTCTGGCATCTAGGACAGCCACTTCCATGATCGATTTCAAGAGAATCAAGAACAGCATCATTTTCAGCAGGGTGGCAAACGCACAAATTCATTCTGCAATCGCACTTTCCCGGTGGAAGACAATCGGCTGAGGTTCTGCATGGAATGTTTATGTTTCTCGCATTACCTGCACTCAAATTTAATTGCTTAATATGTCTATAAACACAAGAGTAAATATATATATATGTATATATAGATACGTATAAGTAGCGGATAATCAACATATACAAAACAGTGAAATATGACAACAGAACAATAATGAATACCAAGGTGTATGAGGAAATAATAACCAGTGGTAAAAACCACAAGAAGAACAAGAAAGTAAACTTGAGAAAGGAGAGTGACATTTTCTTCAGTGGCTGGGTTCTGTATGGGAGTTTAGAGAGAGAGAGAGAGAGAGAGAGAGAGAGAGAGAGATTTACATATATGATATGAGCTCTGTTAGAATGAAAATTAATTGCATGTGTCTAAGAATGAGGATCCTGATAAATCTTCTTAACATAAGTTGGATTTCATTAAATCATATCTAATCCATACACGATTGTATTAACTAAATGTAGTTACATACCCTTTGTATATATTCATTTAGACCCTTTTCAAAAGGGATAAAGAAAAAATTATAGGCCACTTGTTCCAATTAAGTATTTAAAACATTTGAAGTTATCCACTATATATTTATAATATATATAATATAAATCATAAACAAAGAACAAAATAATTATAAGTATCTATTGTTTAAGAATAAGTTTATGTATAAATATGTATATGAGAAAAAGCTCAGAAGGTAATGGATAAAGGGGACCGCAATCTGGACTGTAGACTTTATAACGGCAGTCTGATAATTACAAGCAACAAAAGAGTCTGTTTCACTTCAATTATTACTATATATATGAATATATATATATATATATACGTATATCCCTAAATGGGATCAAATACACAAGGACTCTTCATTCTCATCCTTTACAACTCTGGGCCCACTAGAAATCCCCTTGATTAGACAGCCAGCCAATCGAAACCCTCAGATCAAGATGATCTTGCATGCTCATCCAACCAGAATCCAGATAAGGTCTTGTGTGGCCCCCAAAAGTGCTCTTGAAATATATACATACACACACCTAAAAGTGCACTGCAAAACTCTCAACTCAGTCTTTGTGATGTTGTAATGCTGTAAAAGCGCGGTTGTGGGTCATCCATGCACACTCAAACATAACCATCACCTTCCATACAACTCAATAAAATTATTATACCACCATTTTAAAACCCTCTTCTGGAATGATTCAATTCCAGTAATCTCTGTTTGGTTCTCGGTGTGATTCGTTGTGTCTTCTTGAAATGATTTTGACAAAAAATGTAGCCAACGCCGTGGGTGGCAAGACGGCTAGAGCTTGTGACAGTTGTATAAAGAAAAGAGCTCGTTGGTACTGTGCTGCTGATGATGCTTTTCTTTGCCAAGCTTGTGATGGTTCAGTCCACTCGGCTAACCCACTTGCTCGAAGACATGAAAGAGTTCGCTTGAAGACTGCTTCTGGCCTCATCAAGAATCAATCTTGTACCCCCACTTGGCACCATGGCTTCACGAAAAAAGCTCGAACTCCTCGATCCGGCAACAAGGGTAGAAAGGATGATAATCACAACCCAATCCCTCTGGTGCCGGAGCTTGGCACCGATGAGATTTCACATGAAGAGAACGAAGAGGAGCATCTTCTTTATAGGGTTCCCATTTTCGATCCGTACGTTGCTGAGCCGTCAAATGAATCTGTAATGGGTGTTGAAGTGGGAGATGTGTCAAAAGTTGTGGTATCTGGATCTGGGTATGGAGAAGGGGAGAGTGTCTTACATGGGTTTCTTCCATCTGATATGGATCTTGCAGAGTTTGCAGCTGATGTTGAGAGCTTGTTGGGGAGGGGATTGGAGAATGGAAGTTTTGGAATGGAAGAGTTAGGGTTAATGGACTGCAGAGAAGACAAGGAAACTAACAAGGAATGGTCATTAGGGGTTAATGATAAATCTTTAGTGAAGACTGAAGAAGAAAATGAGGGTACTAATTTTGAAGGTGCTATAAGAGAATGCCATATGGGTAATGAGCCTTTTGAGTTGAGCTTCGATTATGATTCTCCTACCACCTGTGGAGATGAAGAAGAAGAGAAAGCGGTTAAGGGAGTGGTGGATAAGGAGGATAGAAGTTCTGCTTCTTGTCGTGAAGAAGCTGATGGCTCAAAGAATAAAAAGAAAAAGAAGAAGAAAAATAAAGTATTTTTGAGATTGGATTACGAGTCGGTGATCACTGCATGGGCAAGCCAGAATTCTTCATGGACAACCGGTGAACGGCCGGATTTTGACCCTGACGAATCCTGGCCTGAGTTTATGGTAAGGGTAACTCTGGTTCATGGCTTCTCATCCATCAATATAACAAAAATAGAAAATAATAGTATGCTGTTATGTATTTCAGGGAATTAAGGGAGCAGAAGTTCATCAGCCATACGGTGAAATGATGGGAATGCTAGGACACCATGGAATGGGTGATGGAGGGAGAGAAGCAAGAGTATCAAGATACAGAGAGAAGAGAAGAACAAGATTGTTTTCGAAGAAAATAAGGTACGAGGTTCGGAAATTGAATGCAGAGAAGAGGCCTAGAATGAAGGGGAGATTTGTCAAGAGAACAGCTTTTGCGGGACCTGGTTTTCCTAATCTGTTCAAGTAATTAATTAATTAACGAGCTGTTTTAATTAATAATAAGCTAATAATACTTAATTGTAATCTCCACCCAACTGGGTCCTTTATGTGAATTAGCATGCATTAAGGCTGCTGGTTTTTTTGACTTATTAATATACGAAACTGCTTATATGAATAAAACCATTAAGCTGGTAAGCTCATGCTTATATGTACCATCTTCCAGTAACATATCTATCTCCTTTCTTCTTCCTTTGTTGGTCTTTATATAGTAGCGCTCAATGATCAGGTTTGGCCAGTAGTCAGCTTAAGTCAAATGTATCATTAGCTACTTGTTCTTCAAGATTCTGGCATTCTGCAGATGCTTAAACTGTTGATGAATTACTTCCTTTTTCCTGCTTTTACTGTCGGAACTGAATTGAAGACTGTGTGTATATATATTGATGGGCGCTTATGCAATCTCTTTACACTATAACCCTCCTTGTATTCATGACAAGAAACATATATATCAATACCATTGAAGTAATTGTGTTAACAAAAAGTTGAATTCTCTTTTCTCTTTTCTTGTAGAACAAAGGCTAAAATTTTCTAAAAGACATATAAGCCTACAAAACGTATACTATGTAAAGTACATGAGAATTCAATGAGTAATAAAATATTTTACATATGTTTATTTAACTAAGATTTCTTAATATCCATAGTTAAGTAATTTTAGATTTTTATTGAGTTTCTTAGTTTTTAGCTTTGGCGCTACGTGAATTTCAGAGATTGCGAACAGAAATATTTTATATTTATTTTATATCCCATACCTACGAATACATGAACAAAAATTATTATTTAATATATATAAAATAAGTGAAAGTGTATTAAAAATATATAAGATTATACTTACATAGCATACTAAACAAATACTTAATTGACAATAATACCACAGAGATTATAACATTGATCTTAGCCAAAAAACTTAGAAAAGTATGATACATATGGATTACTATCAACATCACTATATACTATTTCTGACATTTATTTGGATAGACATACCAACATTATTACTTACATCTCCGTGTACTATTTTTGATATTAAATTCTTTCGTTCGGATAACATTGTTTGAATTTTTGAAAAATATAAGATAAGTTAGACAAAATGTTATTTTTTTATAAAAAGGAAAAAGATATATATTTTTTTAAGTACATAAAAATTTATATCTAACTTTTAACATGTTGTAATTATCATAATTTAATTATCACGAATTATTCTTTTCACACAAAATATAAATATATTTGCTGATACTTAAATATAATTTGATCATTACAGTTCATCATCAACACACTGATGAACTAAATTTTTAATTCTGCTTAATAAAGTATTATAAACTAAATTTATAATATATTCTGCTGAGTTTTATGTATTCAATAAGACAGGTGTGGTAGAAGTTGGATTTTCATAGGCGTCAGAGTGAAAAACCAATATAAATGAAACACATCCCAAGCACGACCACCATGGAAATCATGAACTAATCATTTCAGAGTTGAAGATTTAAACATTCTGAAAAATTAGTATTTTTTTTTTAAAAAAAAAATCTTGAAAGTAGATTTTAGATTAGATAGAATCTGTAAATGAAATCTCTGTACACATCTGAGGGTTGAACTTTTTTGTCTGGGCAACACAATAATAATGGAGTTGTTCGAGACTCTCAAGTTGGTTTCCAAGAGACAAATCCTGAAAGCTGAATTCTGATGGCGATGCCAATGGTTCTGAAACTGTATACACATATATATATATATAATTTATAATTATCTGAATTAATATTCGAAATTTTAATTCAAAATGGAATAAAAGAATTACAGTGGCCCATGAATAATAAATGTAGAAGTTGGCGTTTCTCCACAAATTGACGTGAATGCATGGTCTGTCTTGACAGTTGACACAGTTGTTTCTGCAATTTTTAAAAGATGCAAATGGGTCCACCTTCCACCCTAATCATAAAATTCAACTCCATTTTTCACTCAAAGAATATTCAATACTATTCAAATTAGAATGTCTAAAAATCTTAAACTGAACTCTAATTTTTTAACCACACATGTTATATATATGTAAACACACATATGTATGGTTAACTATTAAATGTGATATAAATTAATTCAAACTAAATCTGAAAAATATAAACAAACTCGTACTGAATTAAAGAGAACGAACGCAGAAACGTATTTGAATCCATAGATTTTCACGTCATGGAGTAAATCTTTTAAATCAACATGTAGCTATAAAAACTAATTTTCACTGCTGATGGAATAATATAAAATAAATAAAACACACACGTGTGATTTGAAAATTATAACTCATTTTTATATTGTATGATTTTTATTGTCTTTCACTTTTTTCATTATAAAATTATAAATTATAAATATAGTATCTATAGATATTATAAATTCGTATTTTAACTCAATGCATTAAGAATCATAACTATTTAATCGTAATTGATCATTTTTAAACGGACCCAATAAATTAATAATCTGTTATACACACCAAAGCTCACATTAAAAAACTATTTGTTCATAAAAAAATCCGGCAAAATGTATTATCTTTTATATATCTAAATTAGAGTTTGTATTAAATTTTTAGTTTTTTTTTTCTATTTTAAAAAATATATAACTTGATTTCTGTAAGTTCAATTTTATAAATAATATTAGTGAATTTATTAGGGAAAGTAAGTTAGATATATGTTTGTTTTTTTATTGATTAAATTTTCATGTAGTATCTGATTTATAAAAATTAATTTAATTTCTTTTAATTATTTTAATAAAAATTTAAAAAGTTCAAAAAATGAAAAATTAAAACATAAATTTTGAACCTTGCTTGGATTGCTTGATTCTTATACGATGTTTATTCTTTAAACTTGATCCATAAATATGTTTTAAAAATGTATAAAAATGTAATTAATATATTATATGTTTTAAAAATATGTAAAAATGCAATTAATATATTATATACTTTACTCCATATATATATATATATATTCTTGTATAATATTGTAATAGCTCAGAACTTGTAAGGAAGTAAATTATAAATTAAATGCGGAAATAAAATAATGGTGTTAGGGTTTACATTCTTTATACGATAATTCTGAATACCCAATAGGAATACAAAAATGACCATTCTAAAGGAACAACTAATAATCAAAAAAATAAACGAAAAATAAACAAACTGAACATCTTACTTGCAACTCTCTTGTGAATCGGGATCTGGATATTGGTCATCTTAATTTAAAATAGTAATGAAAAAGTGAGCTATATTAGTTTAGTAAGAATGTCACACTACTCACCGATACAGAAATAAAGATCGATAAAAATCATGAAAACAACTAATGGACTTTTTATTTTAAGTAAATTAATTTATTATAAGTAAAATCATTTATTGTATACTTACTGTAGCGAAATCTTAAAAACTGACCTATAGAGGCAATGACACAACCAATCTCATAATCTCATGTATAATTAACCAGAACAACAATTTTTTTTGTATCTGCCTACTAGTATCTATGGAGGTTCAGAAGGATGTCCCTACTATGCGTGAACTCTTATTCAACTTTTTCAATGAACCAGCGGTCCTCATACCCCGTCCGGTATGAGTGTGAAAAATATCATCACTCAATACTCCGTTCAGTATGAGGGTGAAACGGGTCATCCTCATACCCCGTCTGGTATGAGCGCCAAAGTACCAATCATCCATACCATATCCGGTATGAGGTAACGTTTACGGTAGAGTTCCCTATGTACCCGATCCGTTCATTATCTCTCAGGATATCTAGTAAGGCTACGATTCATTCACTCACTTAATTAAATAATTTTCTATTTACATTTAATTTTTAATTTCATAATTGAACAGTAAATTACACAAAACAAGCAATACATACATCAAGAAAATACAATCAAATTATCATACTAATTTCAGTATATTATCATGCATTCGAAAATGTAAATTTATCAATCAGTTAAATATTGCAAATAATAATAAATAACTCGTTTTGCCTCTATCAGTAACCTTTAATTATCGATGTTTTTAAATTACTCAAAATACCATATTATTTATAATTAGATTTCAATTTCATAACATGGAATAAGATGAGAGATTCTTACTCGAATCGATATCTGAAATGCTAGGTTTTTAGCTATGCCTACTAGCAAACCCCAAATTCTCTAATTTTTTTTTGAAGATTAAAACACGCTCCAAATACCTAGAAATACCCCCAAAAATCCAAAATTGGTGTTAGAAACCCTTTTCATTCAATTTCAGAATTCTGGCAAGGCGGTGCAGCATTGCTTCGGCGACGGCACCGCCGCTCTCAGTGACTGTTCGCCTCAGGTTGGCCATTTTTTGCCAGTTTCGGTCGATTTTGTACTCATTCTTAAGAGAAAATATGTTAACGAGCATCGGTTGGCCGAAAAAAGTCAAAAAATAAAAGTTTACCAGCGGCATGATTTTTCAATGTGGCTACTCTGCTGGCTCACCTTCGCGGTTATGTGTTTTCCTTCGGTCAACCTTTCCTTTTTATCTGCCTACTAGTATCCATGGGGGTTCATAAGGATGTCCCCACTACGGGTGAACCCTTATTCAACTTTTTCAATGAACCGACTGTTCTCATACCCCGTTCGGTATAAACGCTAAAAATATCATCCCTTAATACCTCGTCCGGTATGAGGGTGAAACGAGCCGTCCCCATACCCCATCCGGTATGAACGCCAAAATACCAATCCTCCGTACCCTATTCAGTATAAGACAACGTTCATGGTAAGGTTCCCTATATACCCAATCTGTCCACCATTTCCCAGGATATCTAGTAAGGATACCATTCATTTACTTACTTAATCAAACAATTTTTCATTTACATTTAATTTTCGATTTTACAATTAAACTGTAAATCACGCAAAACAAGCAATACATGCATCAAGAAAATACAACAAATCATCATATCAATTTCAGTGTATTATCATGCATTCAAAATTATAAAATCATTAATAAGTTAAACATTACAAATAGTAATAAATAACCGGTTTCGACTCTATTAGTAATATTTAATTATTGATATTTCTAAATTACTCAAAATATCATATTATTTATAATTAGACATCAATTCTATAACAGGGAATAAGGTGAGGGATTCTTACTCGAATTGATGTTCGAAATGCTAAGTTTTTAGCTACGACTACTAGTGGTCTTTGGGTTCCCTAAATTTTTTTTTCTGAGATTAAAACACGTTTCAAGTACTTAAAAATATCCCAAAAAATCTAAAATCGGTGTTAAAAACCATTTTCGGCCAATTTCGAGATTCCGGCACGGCGGTGGCGCCGTGCTTCGGCGACGACACCGCCATTTGCTGCGGCAGTTTGCCTCATGTTGGCCGTTTTTGGCCAATTTTGGTCGGTTTTATACTCATTTCTACAAGAAAACACGTTAAAGGGGCTCGGTTGGTCGAAAAAAGTCAAAAAATAAAAGCTTATCGACGGTGAAATTTTTCGATGCGACGGCTCCACTGGCTCACCTTCGCAGTTGGGCCTTTTTTTTTCGGTCAACCTGTGGAAAACAAAATGATGAATATAATGGTTGAAAAATTACACGAAACGGGAATCAGAAAGGGC